TTTGAGAAATGTAATCTGACTTTAAGTCTTCACTTTGGCCTTTCCTACTGAGATCCTGTTTTAGTTGAGACTGAGCCCCATCCTGCTCCCTGGGATCATGGTCCCAGGAATCCAGGAATGACCTTTAGCAGGTGCATGAGTCAGAACCCTGGAAAGTGGAGAAGTTGTAGATCACTCACCAGGTTCAGAGGGGACTGAGGTAATAGAGGCTGGGTACCGCCGGATGGGGCTCTCCCTGGAGAAGTGAAGTGGCCCTGCTTCCTCTCAAGGCTCCTGTGCTGGAATCCCTGACTCTGTGCCCCAACCGACTCTGAAAGAGACCCACAGTATAGAGATGTGTTTCCATGACAGAGCTATTCCTATGGCTCTCCCAGCTGAAACATTGAACATACATTTGTAAAGAGATCTTGTTATCAGTATGGTAACAAACAATGCTGATGTAATGGCTTAAACTGATGTAAATGATCTCTAAACTTCTTTGTTTAAAAATAGAAAAACCAGCTATGGTGCTGCAGGCCTGTAATCCCAGCATGAGAGAGAAGGAGATAGGAGGATCTTGAGTTCAAAGCCAGAGACTGTCTCCATAATTAACTACGGAAAGGAAGACAAGAAGTTTCAGCTTTCACCACTTTTATTTCGAATTCATACACATTTACAAATTAAATTCTTTTAGAATGGCATTATTGTTATATAACTCGTAAGACAGAAATAAACTAGATGCTAAAGGATGAAGTGAAAAATAAACAGATAAGCATTCTTCTTTCTCCCCTCAATGAGTTGCCACAATTACCTCCTCTTTGAAACCTTAGGTTTAAACTAGATGGTTTAAATAGATGTTGCAGAATAAATCAGAAATATGCCCCCCGCCCTGGACTATTTCTTGGAGAATGTTTTGAGTCCTAAACAACTATCTCACTGAAATTGGATATACAACTTCATGACAAACGTGAGACCTTGAGTCTTTCCTTCCTGCCTCATTGCATCATCCTGAACCTGACACAAACCGTGTTAAATGTGGAATTGCTGCCTCCCCACCTACCCCATCAGCTATGTGTCTAAAAACACAAAACCCAATCTGCTCTTTGCCTGTACTTTGAACTCAGCATTAACAGTGTTTGGTTTGGTATTTTATTTTTTACACAACCAAACAACAGCAAAACTTTAAAGTTGAGGAAAATCTGTAAGCAAGATTCAGTTTGGTTTAAGATGCTGGGTATTTTTTGTTTGTTTGTTTAATAGCTTTAATAAAGAGGTTTTTGAATGCAGGACATGGTCTCTTACGTGTTATTATATTTGACTGCCAAATAGGAAAAAAGATTGGACTGAAATAAACAAAATGCTCACACTTTTGTAGGTGGCTTATTTTCTCTTCTTTTCCCTGTTTTCAGTGATATAATTGCTTTGTTTATAAAACAGAAAATTTTCCCCCAAATATTATCTTTAAATGTTAGAGGCTTGTCAGCTTGATTTAAGAAAGTCTAAACTGATTTAAGAAATTGATTTAAGAAAGTCTAAACTGTTGATAGCAGTACGAGAGACATCCAAACATAAGTTGGAGTTTTACTGCATTTTGCATCCTAAATTACCCAGGCACCCGTGACCCATGCTTCCTGATTCTTGCAGTGCCATTTTCTGAGGTTATGTAACCATGAGGTTGTATATGTACTGCTGTGGCTGCATCCTCTACACAGTGGGAGGCCAACCAGCTGTAGTTTTTGTTTTTGTTTTTGGCAGCACTAGGTTTGAACTCAGAGCCTCATGCTTGTTAAACAGGTACTCTACTACTTGATCCATGCCGCTACCTCCCCACAGAGCTGTATTCTTGATGTTCCTCCCATAAAAGCCTAATAGTCAGAAATGTTTGGGAAAATCCTCAAAGCCCCCACCTTCCTCTGGGTCCCTCTGGGTCCCTTCTTTAGTTTTTCGTGCTCCATTTCCACCATCACCATCACCATCATATTCATTCATGAAAAATATTTTTCTACTGTTGCTGAAAAGTAATTCCATTCTGACACTGCAGGCGTGAGCTGACCCTGGGTTGCTTTTCAGCCTTCCTGCCTTAGAAGAAATTAAATCCCCAACAATACACATCAAAACCCCTGTCACTCTTGGTTTTGAGAGAGCCTTGAAGTTCCTGAAATGGTAGTGGATCTGAGAAATCTAGGGTGAAAACCCATTTCATTTTGTAAGCACCAGCTCTCTGGCAGCTCATGTGTACGCTGGGCTTTATTTAAAATGTACCCGACCTTTATTTTATTTCCTTGCTTATTTAGACTGTAGCCTGTGGAGGTCCCCCCCAACCCGCCCCCTGCTCCTTGGTGGACTGCTATCATTTTAATGTCACTGACCTGACCCCTCTTGGCAGAAATAAGATTAGGTAATTTTATGACCTTCTAATCCCACAGGCACCAGTTTTCCTGGATTTTCCAGAAAAACATTTTGAACATTAAGATAAATGAGCAATAGAAATTGTTAGGAGTTACTTTCCATGGAACATATCTGTTAATTTCTCCATCCTGTGGTACATGATGTCAGTGAAAAGAGCTAAATCCTACTAAAATATCCCTGAGCTGTGAAATTTGAGCTCAGAAATTTTTGTGATCTTAGCCTGTAAGCATAATGGCCAAAAATGTACTCATTAAAAAATAGAAATAAAGTGCTCACATTTATGCCCCAATGATTTTGGTAGCATATTTACACCAATTAAATTTATAACTTAAGTATAAACCACATTCTGTAGTTACTATTAAGAAGCAAGATATTCAGTAAATTGTATACTCCTAAGACACACACTCTCGAAGGCGAATAGCTTGCCAAGTTTTCTTTGGGTAAGTTCAGTCAATTAGCATATATTTAATGACTACACTAAGGGCTTTTTAGTAAATGATAAGGAGGCCCCATTTACCACTTCTTCTCATTTAAAAATTTTTTTTCAGAGTGAATACAACTGATACTCAGAATCTAATTTCTTTTAATTTCTGTTAATATGCACACAGTTGGGACTGGAGGTGTAGCTCAAACAGTAGAGCACCTGCTTTGTAAGCACAAAGCCCAGAGTTCAAACCTCAGTCCCACCCCCAAAAAGTATTAAAATACACACAGCAACTTCTTATTTTTTAAACTGTATTGTGCATTCACTTGAGAAGGAAAAGGATTGGGAATTCCCGTGTTCCAAGTCTCTGGATATGGACTTAAAGTAATACCCTCCTGGCCCAGTTTGGTCACTGCTGGCCTGTCTCCTGAGCAAACATTGGATCATCTCAAAGGGGCCTTGGTTTTCTCTGAGTTCTCAGCCGGATTTTCATTTGGCTTGTTGTTTAGCTTCATATTTTATTTCTGGTCCCCAGACTGCCACAGCTGGGAATTGCAATATTTGTAGTTGGTGGCACTGACAGTGAAGTCACACTACATAGCCATCAACTCTATGCCTGACATCATCCTAATATTTTATAATTCATGCACTTACTAAATCCTCAACAGCCCCAGATGGGATTATCCCCACTTTTCAGATAAGAAAGCAGAGACACAGAAAAATTAAGGAGCATGTCCACAGCCAGACAGCCAGTGTACGATACAACAGTGATGGAAACATGGAGTCTGGTTCCCCTGCACTGCCCCCTGTGGGCCTGGACAGCCTATCTGTTGCCAACATTTCTAGGATTTATTGGCATTGGGTCCCAGATAATTGTGCCCTTCTCAGTATATACAGCAAGTATAGTAATCTCATGGCAAGCCCTGGACATCACCTATGAGCTGCCATCTTGGAGCTCCTCAGGAGCATGGCTCAGTTGTGCAGATCAGAAAGGCCTAGAAAGGGGATCTGGCAGCCATCATTGTGGCCTTTCGTGAATTCACACCATTGGGGGACCCAAGGGTCAGCCTGAACATGAGGAAATGCAGCCAGCTGGGTTAGGCAACCAAGGAAGTAGGAGGAGCAATGACACAAATGCCTCTGAGGTCTTCTGGAGTCCCAGAAGTCTGACAGACTCTGATGGGATCTTAAGGCTCCCAAAATTAGGTGAAGTAGGCAGAAAGGATGGATGTTCAGACTTTTGCTTCTGCGAGGTTGGAGCCCCAAAGTTGGGTGTAACATTGAAATGAAAGGGTGCTCCTAAAAATGCCTGTGTTCCCAGAGGGGAAGAGGTGAAAGTCTTTTTGCCAAAATGATCTCTGCAGAGGTCATGCTCAGTCCTGGAAACTTCTTTACACCTGAACATGCTTCTGCAGGCTGGGATTTTCCTCACAGTTCCATCAAGGTCATGAGCAGGAGAGAGGCTCCTAGACTCTGTGCTCTCACACAGCAAGTGTGTTGAATCCATATTCACCTTTTTAGTTACACTCTCTCCCTCAGTTCTTCTAGGTACCATTGGATCTTTTCAACTCTCAAGTACTAAATTCCATTTAAACTCATGTTTTCTCTGAAAATAATTTACTTTGTTTGTTATTAAGTGGGATAAACAAACTAAGTTACTTGCATGACCAAATCACATTGAAGTTTTCTTTGGGAATTCCTTTTGGGAAGCAAAGTGATGTGATAGGTATGGTTATTGGACTCTAAAGTTAATAAGGAGACTGATGTTTTTATTTAGAGCAAAATTCCTCTTTGATTCATTCTCATGTGTGCTCAAATCATATCTTTTAAAGAACACAAGATGTGTCTTTGGAAAATGAAAAGCAGCATACAAATATAAATTCGTTACATTTATTAGTCATGATGTTTTGATTCTCGGAGTAGGAAGAGGTTATCCTCTCACTTTATAGTTTTTCTATAAAGGAGTTTTAGGGTATTGCTCATTGCTACTTGTTTGTTGCTTTAAAGTTTCAAAAACTATTTTTGAAAAATAATCATCCCCCTCCCCACCCAAAAAAAATTTCATGCCACCACATGACCAAATAAAAAGCTAAGAAGCAAAACAAAACAAAACCCAGAAAATGTGAAGTGGAAAGAAGGATGAATTGATTTTTTTTTTTCTCAGAACCCCTTTTTTATTGTGGAACAATTTTAAATTCACCTTGAAAGACTGAACAATTCTAGAAAAACTATGTGGCACAGCCCAGGAGAAGCAGGACTTGGAGATTTTCAGGAATGTCCTGGGTGATGCCCTTGTAAATCACCAGGAAGACTGCGTCACCACCAGAATCTCTGCTGGTGCTCAAGGATCCCAACTAATCCCATCAAACCTTGGATCTGCCTCCTTTTCTGGGACATTTGTGTTTTTCCTGAATCTTCAGTCTAAATTGCCAGAACCAAAGAGCATACCACCCTGTGAGGACCTGCAGCTGCTTCGGGCAGGTTCTGTTTTATTTGTAGCCTGCATATCCGGGATCCATGCAGAAGTATAATGTTATGTACAAGACTGGGTGGAGCACAGAGTTTCCTTGAGGAAATGGGCAGGAGGAAGAGTCCCATTTTAACTCTGGTTGTTTTCTAAATATAATTCCAGCACTCGGCATAGTTTTTTGGTTTTCTTTTTTGAAGGAAAAATAGAAAACTTTGGGTAGAGTAGAGTCCTTTCCTTGAGAGGTCATGGTTTTTTACAAAGCCTATTTAGGGGAACCTGCCCTGACACTCTGAAGCATAACTGTGTGTCCCTGTGTTCTGATCTGATGCAGTTGCTGCTTTCTGTCACCTTTCACCAAGAAAGAAGCAGGTAAGCTGGATGGCATGTTGTTGAAATGCTGCTCTCAGAGCCTCCCTCTTTTTGGCAGGATTGTAACACTTGATTTTGTTCAACTATATTTATTTACAGGAGATTTCAGACTTATTACAATGCACGTCCATGTGTAGAACCCATCCCATGCATGCTGAATGTGAAATGACTGTGAATCAAAGTAGCAGGTTTGTTTAGAGGTAGTTTTTGATAGGATGGTATGTTGTATAGTAGTTTCTTTGTGGATTTAAATGTCTTTTTTCAGTAAGTGGATGATTAGGTGATAAATTATCACAGAATTTCTGAAGGTAGGCAAGTACCACTAAATTTAGCTAGTCAACACATATTTAATGTCCATGATTTTTATAGTCAAATGGATATTTAAGTTTAAACTCTGTTATTGACAAGTGACCACTCTTAGTGGCAGAGAGCGGCAGAACTTTCTCTCTCTCTCTCTCTCTCTCTCTCTCTCATCTAGAGAGCTGTACCAGCGCTCCACTGTTGAGTCACATCTCAGCCCAGAACTTACTCTCCCACCTCTTCTCTCCCCATCCTGTGAATTCTTTCCTGTCTGAGAGCAGAGGATAATCAGACGAACAGAATTGGTTCTGACAGTTAGAGTTATCCTAGACCATCTGTTAGACTGAGAAAATTTCATAGTAGTTAGGATTGAATATTATTTGTAATCTAGGGATTTGGGCCAGCCAAATATATCTAGGTGATTTGGAATGGATTTGGATCTAATTCCCAAGGAAATGCTGAATTAATAATAAATGTTTGCAGCTCCTTTCTCTCTCAAAGTAGCAGACATGCTGTTGACATCTGGCTGGAGTGGGGGTGGAAGGGGACAGAGGGAGAGAAGAAGGTGCACATGCATGTGCTAGCCAACACTGTGTCACAGCTATAAACCACAGAGAAATGGCCATTTGGTTCCCCTTCTCAGTCACTAGATTATCTCTTAGAATAATAGGAGACATACAATTCTGGGGGCTTCAGATATTTGCGATGTAAAGGAGATCTCCATGCATCCATATCCATGTTTGAGGCAGCTATAACATGATAGTGTGCTCATCTTTTCTTCCATTACAATTTGCAGTACATGGTAGCCTGAGACTTTGAGAAGCATTTGGCATGTAAGTTTAATTTTCTAGGATATTTGTAGGAAAATATCAAAGACTTTTGGTAACTTTTCCCCCCTAAATGTGGGTGTCTTCAGCTTTCTCACCTAGTATGATGTTACATACATATCCTACTATAACTTGCTCTGTAAATAAATATTCCATGCTACCCCAAGGAGCCTGTCTCCTCTGCTGTGTCATCCTCAGAGAGTACATGGTCCTGTGCCACTCATTTGCTCTCTTTCACGAATAATAGTGATAGTGAAGCTTACAGAGCATCTCCTGTGTGCTGGATGCTTTGCTAAATGCTTTCTATGTCTCGTCTTATTACAGGCTGTGCTGGGGGGATCTCCTGTGTTACCAAGTCTCAGATTCAAATTTCTTCACCTGATGGCCACTTCTAAAGTTCTGTGCATTCCCACAGTCTAAGTGGGCAAATGACAACCCACTCTGAGATTCAAGCTCCTCATTCCTCTTCCACTCCTCCACAGATTCTTTTAATGGTCTCTTTTATAGCTGAGAAGACAGAAGTTAAGAAACCTGCCCCAGGTCACATAGTAAGTGGTAAAGCCTGGCTTTCAGCCCAGGCCATCTGGCTTAAAGCCCCCTTAAAGCATTTGGCACATAGTTAAGAGTCTGGATTTCTCTGAAGAGCTGGATGAAGGTTAGTTTTCTTACCTCCTCTAAGTGTTACTTTTAACTTAATTTGCAATTCTGTATTCTTAGTGTTCAAATAACTCCTTCCTTGCTGTAATAAATTTTCAAAGTAACTTCCATTAGGCTTCTTGAAGTGTTTGTACATATATTAATCATGCATTAACTTGAGTTTTTTTTTTTTGGCAGTACCAGGATTTGAACTCAGGGCCTCACACTCAGCATTTGAGCCACTCTGCCAGCCTTTTTTTTGTGTTGGATATTTTTGAGATAGGGTCTTGTTAGCTATTTGCCCAGGCTGGCTTTGAACCTTGATCCTCCTGATCTCTGCCTCCTGAGTAGCTAGGATTACAGACATGAGCCACTGCCACCCTGCCTCTGAATTTGAATATTAGTGTGAATACTCACCAAGTAAACCTACAAATTTTCCAGTCCCACCTGTTTGGAGCTTTTCAGGTATGTGAGTCCAGAACAGAGAGGCCAGAAACGTGGAGATACCAGGAGGCTGGTGGGAGGAGCAACGGTGTGGCATGCTGACTCACACAGCCTTGGCAATTGTGGGCTAGCATCTGGGCATCTAGTTCTGAAATATTGATCCCGAGGGTCAAGCAAGTGGACTTCCATCCACCCACTGAGGCCAGCATGGGAGGATGGGTGCAAACAGTGATAAGTGATTAAGCAAAAACTATTAGTGCAAAAAAGAGTCTAAGAGTGTTTTGTTCTGTTTTTTTCCCCTACTCAGTTGTGCATGCATACAACTTTCATGCTTGTTGGTTCTTTTTCCCTGATTTTAGAAAATTGGATGTTTTAGAAATGATGAGTTTTATTTTTGCTTGTTAGAATTTCCTTTAAAGTGAAAACTACTTAATTTTTTGTGCTTGAAGTAGTGATAAGCTATCTAGGTGATTGTATTTGGTAGTTTATGACTCCAGTCTTCATGGAATGTAAAACCAGAAGGTTATTTAATTTGCAAATTACATAGGTCCTGTAGATCTTAGCTCAGTGTCAGTTAGTAAATTGTTGGCTATAATAAAAACTAGAGATTAGGGAAATAGCCTTGAAATAAATGACAGCTCACAAAACTCATTGAACACCAAAAAAACCATGATATTCTATAGTGTCCCAAAGTTCAATGTACATCTATCTGCTCTCTCACACATGATGGCTTCTTGATAATCATCCTTATCTTAGAGACTTTACTAGTAACTTTCATAGCTGCCAAGAGAATTCGCCAGCAGTTGTTTCCTGGGGGAAATAAGAGATGATATGGAGAGAAAGGGATTAACGAGAAGGCTCATGAGCATTATTTGGCTGTGGGAACAAAGCGAACAAGGATGACAGCCATGACTAATGGGTGAAACATAACCCATGTCCTGTGGCCATACGAATATTCCAAGTTGTGATCTGGGTAAATAACAGGCATCCTTTATTGTAAGTAAACTTGTTTTAAAAGACCTAGTTTCCATCATTGAAGCAATGGGATACTTCTTTTTTAAGGATGTACATCCTAAGGCTTTAGGTGAAAGCCTATTTACCAGTGATGTGGGAGGATGCAGTACAAACTGAGCAGCTTAATTCAATTAGTTGGAAGTGAACATTAGGGAATTTCTAAAACTCTATGATGGGGAGAGGAGAGACTAACAGGGACTGAGAAGCACTGAAGTAAGGACAGGTTTCAGTACCTTAGAATACAATTGAAAGAAGAAAGAATGACTGTGTGCAGCTCATACTAATGATTGAAGGCCAAGCCTTGGAGACCTTTTTCTCCCTGAGGAAACATTTCTAGAATTAGATAACAAATTTGGAGAATTGGATGTTCATTTCAGAATGAAGACTTTAAAAAAAAACTGGCTACAATATATAAATTCTGCAATCCAGGGAATTCCTATAGCTGGGAAGTGTTTCTGGGATAACTCTTCAAATCGAAAATTCCTCCAAGGTGTGGGGAGTAGTAGGAGTGTGCTAAGAATTGAGATTAGGGCCTGTCCTGCAGTCCACCTCACTTAATGGCTGGAAATGAGTCCTGATGGAACCACAGTCTATGGTGACACACTTAACATCCAACCAGGTTCTGAGGTAGACAACCACGTAACTGAGGAAGACATCAACACTAGAGTTCTTTCCTCAATCTTCCTATCTGCAAGATAGGCATACTATCTCATGGCTTCTAAAGAAGAAGAAAAGCAAACCTTTTTCTAAATCAAACTAAATCTTCAATTCTTTTGGATCAGACATACAACATGGCTACATTGAAAAATCAATGTGAAATATTTTCTGTCCTTAAGAAAGAAATGTCAAGGCATCATAGTGTCTAGCTCATTGTGCTAGAAATGGGAGCTGGGCGGTGTTGCATAGAAGGGTTTGAGTAGGGCTCTCTTATTAACATTTGTGATCCCACATTGATTAATTCCTGAAAATGCAGGGAGGTTCAGTGTTGTTTATGTATGAGACCTGCGTCCTCCCACTGTGTTATCTAAAATTGTACCACCTGAGGGTCGTATTTCAAGGACATCGATGTGTTTAGCTCTCTTAAGAGAAACTTGAAGTTGAATTTTTAATGAAGATATTTTTAAATGATGAAAGCAAGTTTTAAAATCCAGTAAGGGTTCTTAAAAAGGATTAGACAGTTCAAGTATAAAGCGACCATTTTTAGAATTCAGTGTCACATCTTGATTGAGGACTGAGAATTATGGAGGTGGTACGAAGACTTGAATTTGCTTCCTCTTGTGCACATTAGCTGGACAGAATTCCAGTGTAACAGAAATGTCATGTATACAGTAGCTGCATAATAGTTCTCTAGGTTACTGCTTACCTGCCTGATGTATTATATCCAACCCTGAGCACAAGACATTAGAAAAGTTGGATATGTACAAAGGTCACTCTTGCTGATTTGAGAACTTTTTTTTTAAAGCCTGCTCCGCAATTCAGGTATTAGTTGAAATCTTATGCAGTGGGTACTTGGAAAAATAATTGCAGCTTATGGTGACTATTAGTTATCATTAAGTATTTATTTGCAAGCTATCTAGCTTTGCACTTCTGAAAGAATAAACAGTATCTCTTCAGCTACTGAAAAGTGTAAACAGGCATTTAATTGAAAGGTAGGAGTGTGGCCAAGAGGCTGTTCTTCTACCTCGCTAGCTAGCTAAGCTACACCTTTTCAGCCTCCTTTGCTGGTTCTTCCCTCCTTCTCCAGTCACCACATGTCAGGGTGTCCTAAAGCTCCCTCCC